CTAATTGTTCTGTTGTTGAGTGCAAATGGCTTTTCAAAGTTAAAGAAGAACCAAATGACATTAGGTTTAAATCTAGGTTAGTGGCTAAAGGTTTCACTCAAAAGGAAGGGGTAGACTATGCTGAAATTTTTGCTCCCGTAGTAAAATTCACAACAATTAGGATGATGTTTGCCCTAGTTGCCCATAATGACTGGGAGATGAAGCAGATGGATGTTACCACTGCTTTCCTGCATGGTGAACTAGATAAACAGATTTTCATGAGCCAACCTGAGGGTTTTGTTGACCCTAAGTACCCTAGACATGTCTGTCTACTTAGGAAGGCCCTCTATGGCCTGAAACAGTCTCCCAGAGAATGGAATATCAAGTTTGATCAGTGTATGTCTTCCCTAAGCTTCAAAAGGTCTGATTCTGACCCTTGTTTGTATTTTAAGAATACTGCCTCTGTACCTGTTTTCTTGTTGATCTATGTTGATGACATGCTTATCATTAGCCCCTATGTGAATGTTATTAAGATTGTTCAAAAGTGCCTTTGTGAAAACTTTGTTATGAAAGACCTTGGAGATGCTAAGAGAATCCTAGGGATTAATATACTTAGGGATAGGAGTAGGTGTACCCTTACCCTGAACCAAACCTCCTATCTAGAAAAGGTCTTGAAAAAGTTCAAAATTGACTCTGCCCAACCTGTGAATGTTCCCTTAGCACCCCATTTTGTGCTAAGCAAGGATCAATCCCCAAGGACTGCTCCTGAGATAGATAGGATGAAGGCTGTACCCTATTCCAGTGCTATAGGGTCAGTCATGTATCTCATGGTAAGCACAAGGCCTGATATAGCTTATGTTGTTAGTTGCTTAAGTAGATAAATGGCAAACCCTGGTATGTCTCACTGGACTGCCCTTAAATGGCTCCTTAGATACCTTAGGGGTACACCTTCTCATGGTCTTGTGTTTTCTAAAACTGAAACTGGCATTTTACTTACTGGCTATGTTGACTCCAATTATGCAAATGATAGGGACAATAGAAAGTCTACTACTTCCTACATTTTTACTCTTTGTGGTTCCTGCATAAGTTGGAAATCTCAACTACAACTTATTGTTGCACTGTCCACTACTGAATCTGAATACGTGGCAGCCACTGAGGCCTTTAAAGAGGCTATTTGGCTTAAACGAATGCTAACTGAAATTGGTTTTCTTAAGCAGGTTGTGACAGTCTACTCTGATAGCCAGTCTGCTATCCAATTGTGCAAGAATCCTGTATTCCATGACAGGACCAAGCACATTGATGTCAGGTTTCATTTTATAAGAAATATTGTGGATGCAGGTTGGATAAAGCTGTCCAAGATACCTTCTGAATTTAACCCTGCAGATATGGGGACTAAATGTCTCACTTTTGAAAAACTGTTGTCTTGTAAACGTATTCTTAATTTAGATTGTGGCTAGATAAGAACTGTAAAACAAGAAAAACCGGCGATGATGATTCTCCCTTTCACATTGTGCTCTACACCACCAGGGGAACCAATAAGGTGGAGATTGTAGTGGTATTGGTCCACCTCCACTGGGCCATCCCTGAGTTGCCTTTGGTCTACCTCATTTAAGGAGATGGTCTCCTATTTATTGCTCTGGCCCAATTGGGCTGTCTACCCGACCAAGCCCATTCCCTTATCCCTTGTCTTATACCCAGCCCATGCCCGTGTGGCCCTCTCTTATATTGTCTGGTTCTTCTGGAATCTCCTATTTCAGACCTTCCATCTTCTCTCGACGCGATGTCTCTCCCGTTCTGTTACCCTAGACCTAGAGTGAGAGAGTGCCGGTTTCTTCTGAGCTTTAGCTCCGGCTTTGCTCCGGTGAGACCTTGGGGTTCCTATTGGGGTCTTCACTCTAGTCTGGTAGTGTGGTGGGTTATTACTCCTCCGGTGGGACTTCTGGGCTGGGGTCTGGGTTCTTAGTGTGAGGGTTAGTTGGTTGTCGCCCTTTCGTCTTCCCTGGTTGTATCTGTGGTGGTGAGTGTGAGCAAGCCTTTGGGCTTTGTGGTGATTGAGGTCTGAGCCGGTCCGGTTTTCTAACAGAAGTAGTAAATTAAGCAATTGGTTGGATGTGTGTTAACATATAAAAAGATAAAACATTACAAGAAGTGGGTATGAAAAGGGATAGTTTTATTGTTACAAACACAAATAAAATTTTAACATCTTACACCAGAACATATCGCTTCAAAATCTAATCCCTAATATTATGTTAAGAGTAAAATAAATTGTATGTAACTTACTTAGCGTCAGACGTCCTCAGCTTTTTATTTCCAAATAAATTTGAATTGAAGTAAAGAATAAGGAACAAGAAGTAAGAAATTTGAGCTTCTCTTTGTAGTCAGAAACGGAGGCATATCAGCCTTTTTATGTTTGAACATGGAAGTACGGTGAAGATAAGGAGATGGAGAATTGCCTAAAAGATGAGGGGAGAGGTTAGCGGTAGCATTTGTGTAGAGCTAGGATTTACATATATGCAATGGCGGACCCACTAAGGGTCCCACGGGGTCCCGGGACCCCATGGAAGTCCAAAAAATTACCTATATATTATATGTATTTTATATAAAATTAATTATTACATGTAAATATAAAACAAAAGCTGCCAATAATTCAAAAGACGATCCTAGAGGAATGGCACCATGGTTGAGATTAGTTTTGTCCTTCACCCAGGGTACCAGGTTCCACTCCCTCCGCAACACAATTTTTTTATTTTTAAATCCATAGCTGGCAACCGCATATGTACAACAATCTCAGTCCCCGCGGTGCACCTGTGCCTTTGGTCTTTGCATAATTTATTTTTTAATTATTTATTTAAATTTCTTTGAATGTTAAGATAAATCGATAAATTTTTGTAGAATGAACTGTATGTGTACGGTTCGTTTGGTAATACTTAAATTGACTATATTGACTAATTCTGCAGAAATTTATGAAATTCTGGTCAAAGTGGCTGGAATTGTCTGATTCTACTGATTTACGGAAAAAAATATTTAAAATATATTTTATAAATAAAATAAAGAAAAAAATATATGAAGAAACAATTAAAATGATCATCTACAGTAACTTCAGTCAATCCAACATGAAAAGTAACTTTGACTTTACGTTTTTTATTATTACACAATTTAGCGTACGGAATCAAAAGTTACGTGTTTGGTGAAAATGTTGGTTGAAAGCCTGATAATCCGATAAACAGAGTCACCAAACGGGCTCGTAATTTTTTATTTTGCACTATCTTAATGTTTTGATGATGTACGTTAATTATGAAACATTATACTTCTTTAATAGATAGTACTTTACTTTGGTTTATAAATTTTATTTTAATTAAAAAAAATTAGGGTAGAAACCTCATGACTTTGTTTTTCTGGATCCACCATTGATTTTACCCATGTCTCTTCGAATGGAAGAAGACCTTAGTTTTATATTAATTAGAGATTAGATACTAGTATATAAAAGGGTAGGGATCCCGTGACTCCGACTTTCTGGGTCCGCCACTGCATATATGTGTGATAATAATAGGGCTTAAATATATGTATGGGCTTGGGCTGGTAAATAATAAATATGTGCTGATAAAAAATTACGTAGTATTATTATTAATGCCTTCAGTATAATAAAAATATAAAAGAAAAACCTGAGGAGACAAAATCTTGCAATATAATGATTTAACCAAGCATATTCTAAAAAATTCAGTTGACAACAGTCATTAGAATTTGTCACCTATTAATTTTCATGATTAAATTAATTTTAAAATTAAATACTTTTCTAAAAAATGAGTACAATAAGTGAATGACATAAAATTAAAATGTTATTCGTCTTTCAAAAAAAATACTATTCTAAAAAGTTTAAGTGAATACAGTAAATATTAAAACTAAAGAATCTTAGTTAAATAAGCACCTTCAATTCTACTCATTAGCTAAATTAGTGCCAACATATGAGAGACAAAATTGTCCTACTCAATTGTTAGCCGACTTATTTTATATCTAAAAGAATAATAAATATAAGAGTCATTCTCCTGCTCAATTGTTAATCAAACTATATTATCTTCATACACTTAAAAGCACTACTATGTATGAGAATTTTGTTAGTCGGCTTATCTTATACTTAAAAAGAATTATATACGTGACAAAAATTTCTCTCGCTTAATTGTTAGCAAGTTTATCTTCTAGTGCCTATGTCTCACTATAAGTCTATAATTGTCCAATTTTTCCTTTTTCATTCTTACTTTATTTTTCACTTTATCGATTCATTATCAATTCATTATCAACCACATAACTCTACTTTTGTTAAAAACACACCACACTTCTTTGTCCCAGTCTTAGAGGGGCCGATGTAGTATATATGTACTCCCTCCGTATCAAATTATTTGCAACATTGAAACTTACACATGCCACTATTCATGTACACTACTTTAACTACATTTTAATTATTAATGTATGTGAATTATGTTTTTTGAAAAAAATTGTTTAATTTGTCTCATTACAAAGTTTCATAAATTGATTTTTAATTTTTTTTACTAATAGGGAATTAAATATAATGATGGTCAAAGTTGTGCATTGGTAAGCGTGAAAAAGAGTGTTGCAACTAAAAACATTTAGTATAATACCCCGTAATACCTAAAAGCAGTACATATGAGAGTGAAAAATTCTCTCAACTCAATTGTTACCCGACTTATCTTATCTTATACCTAAAAACACTACACACGAGAGAGCAACTTTTTCTGCTTAACTGTTAGCCGACTTATTTTATACTTAAATGAACTACATATGAGAGAAAAAGTTTTCCCGCCCAACTATTAGCAAACTTATTTTCATCTCTTATCTTCTTATCTTCTTACTATACTTAAAAGAACTAATATGAGAGAGAATGTTTCCCACACAACTTTTGGCAAACTTATTTTCTTATCTTCTTATCTTATCTTATCTTATATTTAAAGAACTACATATGAGAGAGAAAGTTTTTCCCGCACAACTCTAAGCAAACTTATTTTCTTTTTTTAACCCGGTAGGCAAACCACCAAAATCAGTGGGGCAAACGCCGGGGAACATTTGTCATGTTTTTTTAAAAAGAGGGATTTACAAATAGTAAAGGGTCCTTTACTTAGGAGGCATACCTCCTAAGTAAACAATGATAAAATTTAAAGGAAAATTATTGGGGGGACTAGACCTGACCCAATAATAAAAGTTAAAACCCTTAATGTCAGGAATACCAAAGAAATCAAGATAATAAGCTTTCCTGGCCCGATCCGGTAACAAAGAAACCTAATTAAAAAGGGGTAAAATGGGCCGGAGAGAGATCTGCCAGATAATGGGCGACCCAATTCCCCTGTGTATGCATGTCCGAAAGAAACCCCCTTCCTAAACGCTTCTTCCACCATTTCCTGAAAATCAATTGCGCCACTTATATACTCTTGTTGTCCGAAATATACTCCAGCAATTCCAGAGCATTAACTTCCACCTGAAAACCCTCATAGCCATTCTTCATAGCCCAGGAAGTCGCAGTGACCAAGGCGGTGGCCTCTGCCAACAAAGCTGATTCCGCAACAACAGGGAAGCTCAAGGCGAAAACCAGCTGTCCTATATCGTCTCTCATAATAGCTCATCCGATCCTGCAGATCCCTCAGGTAAAAGAACTACATATGAGAGATAAAGTTTTCCCGTTGAACTGTTAGCAAACTTATTCTCTTATCTTCTTATTAACGTAAAAGCACTATATATAAAGAGAAAATTTCTCCACTCAATTGTTAGCCGCCTTATCTTCTTATTATGCTTAAAAGCACTACACACGAGAGAGAAAATGTTTTCGCTCAATTCTTAGCTAGCTTATCTTATACTCAAAAGAACTATTTATGAGAGAAAAATTTCTTCCGCTCAATTGTTAGCAAACTTAATTATCTTTTTAAATATGATCATTTTAGCTATTTTTCATATAATTTTTTATATTATTTATTGATAACAGATATTTTTAAATATAATTTTTTATGAATCAGCAAAATCAGCCAATACAGCAACTTCAGTCAGAACTTCATTAATTTCAGGAGAATCAACCAATTCAGTCAATTCAGCCTTACCAAACGGGCTCTAAAAATACAAGTCACTTTTACAATTACAAATATCACTTTTTTTGAAATTTTAGTCCGTACAAAGCTGCATGGAGCTTATTTAAAAAAAAACTGCACCTCACGTGAACACATCACATCACTTGGTGTAAATAAACAAATTAGTGTAAATAAGGGTTTAATGCACCAAATCCTATGTGATATAGAAATTCGTATAAAATTGAAAATAACATTTATAAATACATGAATTTATTAATTTAATCTAACATTAAAAAAAGATATGCAAAAAAAGCAATTAAAAGAACGACGTAATTTTGGTATATTTAATTTAAACATAGAAATGGAAAACCCTAAGTTTTGAGCATAAAGAAAATTAATCGCACCAAAAAGCTAGAGAAACGCCATTAATGGAGAAAAGAAGAGAAGTGTACCTTGGTGGCTTGGCCGCTTGGTTGATGATGAAAAGGGAGAGACAGAGACCGAGAGTGCAGAGAGGGGTGTCTGCTCGTCGGTCAGCCGGTGGTCGCCGGCTCAGCTCGTCGGTCAGCCGGTGGTCGCAGGCTCAGCTCGTCGCCTCGTCAGCACTGCGGCGGTCGCGGTGGTAAGCGGTGGAGCCGTGGAGGGAGCCAGCGAGTTAGTCGTGCAGTCCGCAGTCGTGCTTCGCGCCTTCCCATTTAGGGGAATCGCACTCCAGAAAGGAAAAGAGGGGGCTGCCGGCTGGGTCAAGGTCTTTTGTTTTGGGCCTAAGTTCCAAAAAGTCGGACCTTCTACACGCACGACCAAAAAAAACATGGGTTGAGCGCCTGGGCCGTGCCTTCCGTTAAAGACAAAAAACACGGAAAATAAAAATCCAACGGGATTCGAACATAGAACCTCCCATAACATACTTATTGTAAAGTCGCTTTTTGTGTAAATATACATTAAATAATAAATTTTAAAAATACATATATATAATAAATATAGGTTTCTTTTACGAGGTGCACGGGGTCCCGGGACTCCTTGGGACCCTTATGGTGTGTTTGGGAGTTGGGTTTTGGAGGGGAGGGGAAGGTTATTGGGGGTTTATGACCCTCCTTTTCATGTTTGGGAGTTTAAAAATTGGAGGGGTGGTTTTGGAGGGTTTTTGTAACCCTTCAAAACCCTCCAAATGCTTAATTTTTAAGTTCCCCCAATTTGGAGGGTTTTGGAGGATAATTAACAAGATGGTAATTTAAGCTAAATTAGAAACGAATATCAGCTCAATGATTTGAATTCGTCATATCTCAAAGTGATTTTAATTATAATTCCTTCAAAAACTCTCTCCTTCCAATTTTATTACTCCCAAATACAAAGAAGGGCTTCCTCACTCTCCCCTTCCTTTCTCCTCCAACAAAATACCTTCAAAGCCTTCCCCTCCCCTCTCCTCCAAACTCGCAAACATACCCTTAGTGGGTCTGCCACTGCGTTTGTGAAAATCGAAAAATAGTTAAAACATAGTTAAATCTCATTGATAAATAGGACTAAAACATGGTTAAAACTCCAAAACAGGACTTGAAGTTTTAAATTGCTTAAATGGGACTCCAGATTACATTTTTACCCTTAATCCTCAAATCACCTTTTCCCCAATCTCTCTGCACCGATCGCGAGACCTGGGATTACAATTTCCCCTTGCGACTCAGCTTCCATGGACGCAACTCAACCGCCATCGATAGCAACTCGACCGACTTGCTATAATCGCAGGTGGCTGCTCGACGTCGACCGCCACCTCTGCAACGATCTCTCCATCAAAACCATGTATTCATCATCATCTTCTTCTCCTCCTCCATCTCCTTTTTCTTCTTCTCCTCCTTCTTTCTCCTTCTTGTTCTTCTTCTTCTTCTTCCCCCTATTTCTTTTATGTTTTGTGCTTCTTTTGAATTTCAGATTATGGCTTGTTTTAATAACTGTAACAACCGTAAATGTCATCTTTCTATTCCAAAATGTCAACTTTATTTTAACATCACAGCACACATGGTGTCATTTTTAAAAAATTGACATGTTTATTTTTATGTCATTTAAGGATAGCTTGAAAATGACATGTTTTTCCTTATGCATAATGACACAATAATGACAATTTCGTATAGACACATGACATTCTCAATATGGCATTTCCAAATATTGTAATGACATAAAAGTGACATTTTGTAAAAATACCCAATAATTATGACATTCTCTTATTCAAAAAGTGACATTTTCTAGAATCATTAGTCAGGACATTTTGAGATTCAAAGTACTAAAAATTGATAACATATATCTTCATTTGAAACTTTCAAGAATCAAAGTTTTATTTAAAATCTGATTAATAAAAAATAAAAATAAAAAGCAGAGAACTAGACACTACAAAAAAATTCGCCTGTAGTCACGGACCGTAGTCACGGATTTGGTCCGTGACTAGTTAGTTACGGTTCTAATCACGGTGTAGTCACGGAATCGTTAAAAAACAAGTAGTCACGGATTTGTCCGTGACTACGTCCGTGACTAAAGGTAGTGACGGACCTAGTCCGTGACTAAAGTGTTCCGGGCAACCCATTTTCGCCTCCGGCGGGATTTTTTTTAAATTTGAAACTAGTCACGGACAAGTCCGTGACTAGTACCGTGACAAGTGCAAAAATTGATTTTTTCAACGTTCCAAATTTAAAGTGCACCGACAATTCGTACAAAACCAAGTAGTCACGGACACATCCGTGACTACGTCCGTGACTACAAAATTTATATATGCAGCCTCGGCTTCCTTCAACAAAATCACACCTTCTACGTACTCCAGATAGAATTCCAGATAGAATTGAAGGATTTAATCTACCCATCTCATATCATTTTTCCTGTTTTTGCAGATAAGGTATGTAATTTGAATTACGTATTTTTGTAAATTAGTTAAATATGTAAATTTGTTAATAAATACATATGTAAGTATATATATTATTAAATATAATATTGGCAATACATATGTTATTAATTTTAAAATATAGGATTAAAATTACGTAAATTAGTTAAATACGTATGTAAGTATATATGATTAAATATAATTTAAATGCATATTATTAATATTAGTTAATAAATGTAAGTATTATTTAATTCAAATGACTTTACATATATATATATATATATATATATATATATATATATATATATATATATACATATATATATATATATATATATATATATACATATATATATATATATATGTATATGATTAAATATAAGTATATGATTTCTTTATATTGGCAATTATTGTTAATTAAGGCGGCCTAATTTAGAATTAATAATGATTTAAATTAGGGTTAGTTAATTTAATTTAAATGTGTTTATTATATATATATGCTCAAATTATTGAATTTGCTCATATTATTTAATTTAGTACGTAAATTGTTAAATGTGCATTATTAATAAGATTAAGATGTTGATAATTTTAGTATTGTGGATTAAATTAATGTCATTAACGTATTTTGCATGTTTATAGTTTAGTAATATTAATTATTAGACGTTAGTTAATTTTAATGGGATTTTAGTGAATTTTAGTGAATTTTAGTGAAATTTTAGGCAATGAGTTAATTTTAAGGGAATTAGTTAATTTTAAGGGAACTTTTGGGAATTAGTTAATTTTAAGTGAATTTTAGTGAATTTTAGTGAAATTTAAGGAAAATAGTTAATTTTAAGGGAATTTTAGGGAATTAGTTAATTTTAAGTGAATTTTAGTGAAATTTAAGGAAACTAGTTAATTTTAAGGGAGTTAGTTAATTTTAGGGAATTTTAGAGAATTAGTTAATTTTAAGGAAATTTTAGTGAAATTTAGTGAAATTTAAGGGAATTAGTTAATTTTAGGGAATTAGTTAATTTTAAGGGAATTTTAGTGAATTTTAGTGAAATTTAAGGAAACTAGTTAATTTTAAGGGAATTAGTTAATTTTAACGGAATTATTTAATTTTAAGGGAATTTTAGGGAATTAGTTAATTTTAAGGGAATTTTAGTGAAATTTAGTGAAATTTACGGGAATTAGTTAATTTTAAGCGAATTTTAGGGAATTAGTTAATTTTAAGGGAATTTTAGTGAATTTTAGTGAAATTTAAGGAAACTAGTTAATTTTAAGGGAATTAGTTAATTTTAAGGGAATTATTTAATTTTAAGGGAATTTTAGGGAATTAGTTAATTTTAAGGGAATTTTAGTGAATTTTAGTGAAATTTAAGGAAACTAGTTAATTTTAAGGGAATTAGTTAATTTTAAGGGAATTATTTAATTTTAAGGGAATTTTAGGGAATTAGTTAATTTTAAGGGAATTTTATTGAAATTTAGTGAAATTTACGGGAATTAGTTAATTTTAAGGGAATTTTAGGGAATTAGTTAATTTTAAGGGAATTTTAGTGAATTTTAGTGAAATTTAAGGAAACTAGTTAATTTTAAGGGAATTAGTTAATTTTAAGGGAATTATTTAATTTTAAGGGAATTTTAGTGAATTTTAGTGAATTTTAGTGAAATTTAAGGAAACTAGTTAATTTTAAGGGAATTAGTTAATTTTAAGGGAATTATTTAATTTTAAGGGAATTTTAGGGAATTAGTTAATTTTAAGGGAATTTTAGTGAATTTTAGTGAAATTTAAGGAAACTAGTTAGTTTTAAGGGAATTAGTTAATTTTAAGGGAATTATTTAATTTTAAGGGAATTTTAGGGAATTAGTTAATTTTAAGGGAATTTTAGTGAATTTTAGTGAAATTTAAGGAAACTAGTTAATTTTAAGGGAATTAGTTAATTTTAAGGGAATTATTTAATTTTAAGGGAATTTTAGGGAATTAGTTGATTTTAATATATTAATAATACTCCACATATATAATATGTTGGTAATGTTTATAATTTAGAGTTTTTAACCTGTATAATTTTTTTATTATAATATTCAGGCATAATGTATAGACAAAATAGAATTTGGATGTACGATAAACATGCGGTATTGTACGGAATGCAATCAAATTTTCTTGAAGGAGTTGAGGAGTTTATTAAATTTGCACTTGAACATCCGGCTTATATGAGTGGTGATAAAATCAGATGTCCATGTTCAAAGTGTAAAAATCTCAAATTTAAACACCCAGAAGAAGTTGGGTGGGATTTGTACGCGGACGGTTTCCGTCCCAATTATTACAATTGGACTTCTCATGGCGAACCTTTGGATCCATCTGTTTTACCACAAACTGTAGGTTCGTCTCGTAACGTCCCTGCAGAGATGAGTGCGTGGGGAGACCCTGCTGAAATGAGATAGGAGCAACGTATGGTATATGACGCATACGGTGCATCGATGTCTCAGTTCAACCCCCCACAACCATCTAACGATCCTCCTGAAGCTTCGACCTCGTATCAACCACATGAGGATGAAAATCCGATATTTTATGAACCTTATGTGGATGAAGGTTTAGCTGAAAGGTTTCAAGATGTTTTAAAAGCAGCTGATCAACCCTTGTATGCTGATTGTGAGGGATACTCTCAGCTATCCGCCGTTACAGAGTTTATGAACATAAAAGCTGAATACAGTCTCCCTGAAACTTGCATGACTAGAGTCTTGCAGTCAGTAGGCGGGATGCTACCACGTGATCATAACCTTCCGGATTCATATTGTCACATGAAGCAATTAATGTCTAAGTTGGGGCTACCTTATATAGAAATTGATGCGTGCCCGAAAGGATGTATGTTGTTCTGGAAGGATGATGAGACACTTGAATTCTGCAAGTTCTGTGGTGGAAACAGATACAAACCAGTTCCTCAAAGTAGAAAGAAACCACGAAATAAGTCGGCATTGTCTAAACTGTATTACCTCCCAATAGCTCCACGACTTCAGAGGATGTACGCTTCGACTGCTACTGCGAAACACATGACATGGCATGTTGAGCACGAAACAAAAGAGGGTATGATGTCTCACCCTTCGGACTGTGAAGCTTGGAGACACTTTGACCGTTGTCATCCTCAGTTTGCAATGGAGCCACGAAATGTGCGACTGGGATTGTGTTCAGACGGATTTGCTCCATTTGGAAAGTTTGGGAAGAACTATTCATGTTGGCCGGTCATGTTAACTCCTTACAATCTCCCTCCCGACATGTGCATGAAAAGTCACTTTATCTTTTTGACTCTAATCTGTCCGGGTCCCAATGATCCAGGGAAAAAAATAGACATTTATCTCCAACCCCTTATCGAGGAGATGAAAGAACTTTGGGCCATTGGGACACCAACATATGATGTTTCAAGGGATCAAAATTTCATAATGAAAGCTGCCATCATTTGGACCATTAGCGACTTCCCTGCCTATGGCATGCTTTCGGGATGGAGCACACATGGTCTTATGGGATGTCCGATATGCATGGAAAAATCAGGTGCCAATTGGCTAGCTTTCAGTAAAAAACCAAGCTACTTTGATTGTCACCGCAAGTTTCTCCCGGAAAACCACCGATATCGAAGGGACAAAAAGTCTTTTATTAGAGGTAGAGTGGTAAAAGACACCCCGCCCCCGAGATTGACCGGGGAAGCAATTTTTAACCGGGTTCGACGTATTCCTACGGTTATGCAAGAACCAAATAAGAAGCCATATGGGTTTTGTGATACCCATAAATGGACAAAGAGGAGTATCTTTTGGGAGTTACCATATTGGAAAGACCTTCTCATTCGTCACAATATAGATGTCATGCACACTGAGAAGAACGTGTTTGACAATATATTTAACACAGTGATGGATTTCAAAGGTAAAACTAAAGACGGTCTTGCATCTCGAAAAGATATGACTATTTGGTGTGATAGGCCTGAACTGTCTATTGATCTAGAATATCAGGGCAACAATATTCCAAAAGCTGTCTACCAAGTCACACAAGCACAAAAAGAATCAATATTACAATGGCTTGTGTCTCTGAAGTTTCCAGATGGCTACTGCTCCAACTTGTCCAGATGCGTGGACATGGACAAACTTGCAACGACGTCGAGCATGAAAACTCACGATTGTCATGTAATCATGCAAAGACTTCTCCCAATTGCACTGAAAGAGATGCTTCCTGAACACGTATGGTCCTGCATTACTGAGATCCGTTTGTTGTTTCAGTCGATATGCTCAAGCGTTTTGGATGCAGTATCCCTCCGTAGACTAGAAGAGTCTGTTCCCATGCTGATGTGTAATTTGGAAAAGATAATGCCTCCGTCGTTTTTCGATGGAATGAAATATCTTGTAATACATCTTCCGTATGAGGCTTTAAATGGTGGACCCGTCTTCTATCGCTGGATGTACAGATTTGAAAGGTTAGTCACAATTTCATTTATCTTTGAATATTTATTTCATAACAACATTAATCTGTGTACCACTTTTATTTTACTTTGCAGATTTCTTGGAGAGTTGAAAAAGAAAGTGACCAACAAGGCACACGTTGAGGCTTCAATTTGTCAAGCATATCTTCAACAAGAAATCTCAACGTTCTCATCTTTTTATTTTGAGCGTGAAGTCATCACTAGAAGAAAGAGACCTGCCCGAAACGATGACATCGGCGAGGATTTGTATGAAAATGTAGTCTCCATTTTCAATTACCCAGGTAGAGGTAAAGGAGCTTGGACAAACCGATACATCATGGGAAAAGAATTACAAATTGCGCATACTTATATGCTCATTAATTGTCCAGAAATCTTACCGTTTTATCAGTAAGTTAAATTTGTAGTTATCTTTGTAATATATATACAATTAAGGTAGTTGATTTATAATATTTTCATGTTTGACTTCACAGTGAATTTAGAGCGGAGTACTCAGCATTCCCTGACAATGAAATTGATGCATTGGTGGACTCTCATTTTATACCGTGGTACAAGCATCAAGTATATATACATACACACACATTAATTATATATATTATTAATTAATAATATTTAATAATTACCCAATGGTATCGTGTTTTAATTTACAGATCAATAACCGTGGGATTGTGGACCCTTTGTTAGTATCATTATCGTGGGGCCCTGGTGCCTACGCCAAAGTTTGGCGGTCATATGTGATAAACGGTTACACCTATCACACAGTCGCTTACGGACAGGGCCGACCTACAGTGAACAGCGGGTTATGTGTCCCAACAATCGGTTATGATAACTCGGAAACCAATTTTTTTGGTGTCTTGCACGAGATTCTCGAACTGGAAATGTCTTCTGCTGGGAAAAAGTTGACATGCGTTTTGTTCCGCTGCAAATGGATTGATCCAACACGTGGTGTGCGAAAAAATTCAAAGTATAATATGATTGACGTCAACCACTCTCGCGTGTATACGAAAAATGAGCCTTTTATACTTGCTCAACAAGCAGCCCAGATTTATTATACAGAATATCCTTCAACCAGGCGGACACAGTTGAAGCATCCGACACAAGTTGTTTGCTTTTGACTTGCCGAGTGAGTCGGATTCCTCATCTTTATAATCGCCAAAACTTTCAAGGGGTCTAGCCATCAACTCCGTGATTCTCTGGTATCCTCATCTTTTAAATGTTTGTAGACAAAGTATAACGCAAATGTTGAAAAGAAGCGGGCGGAACTTGGCTTGACTCAAGAAGATGACATCGGTTCTGATGTGGAAGATGATGCCATCCTTGAGGCAACAGGGGTGTACAAGGGTCGGCTTCCATGCCTCGGGGCTGAGGGGCAACGTATTTTGTACGATCGCAGCGGCAGCGGAGTTTCATCATCTTCTCAATCTAGACGAGGAGAGGATCCACGCATTGCCCAATTGCAACGAGAATTGGAGGAGCAACAGCGTGCATTTGAACAGCAACGAAAGAATGATGAAGAAACGCGGGCCCGGCTGGAAGCGATGGAACGGATCCTTGCTGGATATCAGCCTCCACCTCAACCTCATCCTCGGCCGTACATTATGCACGTTGAGCAGACTCCTCAGGTTCCGCACATGGGTGGTATGGGTTATCACTCTAACTCCGGTTATGGTGCCATGCCTGCAATAAGGTCTACATTTGGATCTCTGTCGCCTGATATGCTCAATCAGTTTCAGTCATCGGGAGGAGGCAGCCGAGAAAGTCACCGAGGAAGCCACCGAGGAAGCAACCTAGGAGGCAATCGAGGAGGCAACCGAGGCAGCCGAGGAAGTTCCCGACCCTTGGACCCCGTGGATGCAGAAGAGGATCATCATCGTCATTATGATGATAATGATGATGAATATGATTACGATGATTCTAATTATTATCACAATGGAGTCCGACGTACGGACATGTAATTACATTATATTGTTTGACATTGTATTGATTTTGTTTTTATAATTCTGTCTGTAATAACATTTTTATTTTTAATAGCGTTTGGAATTTATTTTTATTGTAATTGCTCTAAAATAAAATTAAAATAATTTTTTATTTTTTGTAAAAAATTGTTTTTTTTAAATCAAAAACATTAGTCACGGACTTAATCCGTGACTACTTTTTAATCCGGAATAAATTCAATTTTCCTTTTTTTATTTCTTTTATATAAAATTGTTTTTTTTTTTAAAATCAAAAACATTAGTCACGGACTTAATCCGTGACTACTTTTTTATCCGGAATAAATTCAATTTTTTAGATTTAATATAGTCACGGATACGTCCGTGACTACCACAAAAATAAAAAAAATTAAATTGAACGTAGTCACGGCTCTTGTCCGTGACTAATTCAAAAAAAATTAAATTAAAAGTAGTCACGGATATGGTCCGTGACTAACGTGCCGGAGGCTTATTCCGGTCAAGATGTAGTCACGGACCGAAGTCCGTGACTAATCCGTGACTACACCTAGTCACGGCCACTTGTCCGTGACTACATTCTAGTCACGCAGAACTAGTCACTGAACTAGTCACGGACGAAGTCCGTGACTAAAAGTGTTAGTCACGGACTTTTTACACTACGGTCCGTGACTACGTCCGTGACTACAGGCGAATTTTTTTGTAGTGTAGATGGAGGAAGAGGAAGCTAAGAAGAAGAAGAAGAAGAAGAAGAAGAAGAGATTACTTACCTCATAGCTGATGAGTGCAGGACTACGGCAAACGCCGCTGTGGTGCGAGGGCACAATCGACGGCGGAGCTGTAATCCATGGTAGGAAATTATCGCAGCTTGCTCTGGAGAAATCACCGATGAATTGCAGAAGGCAGAGAGGTGGTTTTTTTTAATTAAGGGTAGTTTTGTCAGATTACCTCTTTTTAGTCCTATTTGTTTTAAATAAAACATAGTAGTCCTATTTTTACAATTCTACCTTATTTTAGTCCTATTTAGATAAATCTCTCATAAAAGTAATATTATCCCGATTGTTTGAAAAATTCCCGATTGTTTTTGTTATTGATTGGTCTGATACGCAGAAGTGCCGTAAATATATGCAAGAGCACCTAGGTAATCGATCGGATCATATAGGCTAGGGTCTTTTTAATAAGGTATGTGTGCTTTAAAAAGTAGTAAATTAAATTCCAAATTAATTAAATCATGTATTAACCTTAATCGATAGTAAAACATATTGAACGCTTATTGAATTGCCTCCATTAAAGATGCGACGCCAAATTAGATTCATTATTATGCATGGCTAACACGAAGGTCACAAAAATTCCAAAATAAAGTGCAGAAACATTCCAGCTAGAACTGCATTCATGTCTATTACGGAGTAACTTTACGAATATTTAGATAGGAGCTTGAATTCAACTTCAGCAATGAGTGTATCTTCAACAACGAACTCGTTTGATGAACTTTCCAATTCGCTAAGTTTCATAAATTGGGCACTGCCCCAGGCAGACGAGGCGGCAAAGAATTTAGCCACTGCAGGATTTACGAATAAGGCAAACTAAATAAGGTACAACAAATCATTGTAAGAAGAAAACCATATAATTATAAAAGAAAAATTGACAAGGAAAAAACCCAATTCAAACGTCAAACCTTCTACTTCCTCATGTCTCAGGATGTTCACTTGATTGCGAATGCGCAAAATAAAGTTGGCATATATTTTTCTACCATGTGCAATAAGGTCTTCAAAATCAAGCAACATTAGAAAAAAGGACAAATGCTTGCCACATGCTCTCGAATCTCCACTCGGATAGAGTAACAGTTGCCTGTTCAATTCCTAGCTTACACGTTACACATTCTCCCCACGAGTAATTAACTAGTCAAATTTGACCATCAGAATTTACACTGTTCACATAATTTACTTTAACTATATTTTAGACTATTATTTTATGGAAATTATTTTAAAAAAAAATTCAATTCATCTCATTACAAATTTTCAAAATCTGATTTTTAATATTTTTTTTGTGATAGAGATTCAGATATATTTACCGTCAAATGCGTGTGTTGGCAAATGTACAAAGGTTGACTGTTGCAACTAAAAAAGAACGGAGAAAGTATATTAAAATATATATTCAAAACTATTTACATATCATAAAATAAATTAATACTCCCTTCATGCTGGCCTTGATTAAAATTTCATGATCCATCTTTGACGTTGATGTTTAATGGCGGGGACATTTGATCACTATTTTGATTTTTTTTAATGTTATGAGACTATTGATTTTACCTATTATTATAGGTAGCATTGTATATCACAGTATCATTATCAACTGAACACTTTCAAATGATTTTCAAATTAAAAATATTTTTGTGTTCATTCTTTAATACTCGTATTTTCATTCGAGTATAATACTCCCTTCATCCGAGTGCTATATTCATTCTTTCCTTTTTTCGTCCGTCCCAATACAAATTCTTCTTTTTTGATAAATAATTTGTGATTTAAAAAATTTATTTTCTCACTTTATCTTTCTTCTGCACAACTTTAAATTACATATTTTCCACTTTCTTAATTTGTGTGCAAATTCATACCGGGAGATAATATTGGGACGAAAGGAGTGAAACGGTATCAAAATGGATGACAAAAGTCAATTTGCAAACCTTTTCGGGACGGAGGAAGTATTAAAAAATCATGGAACAGTAATATAATTGTTTACCATTTTCTTCCTTCAACGATGAACTCATCAGAGCTATTGTAACTCTCACACTTTTTTAATGTGAGGAAGCTGTCGATTTTCCATGTGTAACTTCCATTCTTAATTGGTGCCTTCACCAAAGACACGCATTCATGTTTGGTAGCGCTTGAAACGGAGAGAATCTCAGCTCCAAAAGCACACGTGTCATTGACTAGATATCCATTACAAGGATCATTGAAAGTAGACCAGGGAAGCAACCTATCAAAACCATGTTCAGTTTTCATGCAGTTCAACCGCCTTGTTTTTGCACCACCATCTATGCAAGCGCATAAGATCTGTGTTAGGGTTATAGTGGGTTGAAGCCCAAAACAACAAAAGGGTACTTTTTAATTTTTGGGTGTAAATTCTCTGTTGTTCGCATTTAGTTTATTTGGTTTATGTTTAAGTCTAGTGTAATCAGGGGTGGAGCCAAGACACTAGACTAGACTTGGACGGCACAAAAAATATTTTTTACACTAAAAATATTGACATTTTTAAAATTTGGGCTGGACTAGGGCGGGCCCTCCCCTAGCTACGCGCCTGAGTATAACTACATTTTAGCCCAGTCCTACCAAGGTTCTTGTTGACTTTTACTCCTTTCGGGAAACACTCATGAAATGACTTTTACGAATTATTTTAGTAACTTATGTTCGACTCTTAAACTTAAGTTCCTATGAAACTATATACTCCCTCCGGTCCTAAATAAACTTCACACTTTGACTTCACACAAATTAATGAAATAAATTTGATTTTACTGTAGAGTACACTGTTGTGACACTGTTTGACACTATTTGAAATTGTTTTGCACTGTTTTGGTGTAGATAATTTGCCAAATAAGGAAAAAAGAAGAAGTGTGAAGTTTATTTTGGACACCTACCAAAAATGGAAACTGTGAAGTTTATTTAGGACAGGAGGGAGTATATTATAGTACTCCCTAACTATTATTCATTTTTTAGTACATTAGTTTTATTTTAGTAATACACTAATACTACGTTGGATATGCACTATGTATTTGCACATGAGATACATAAGTGGACTATTCGGGTTCAATGTTGACAAATTTTGGATAAAGATTTTATTTTTTATATTAGCATACTATTTTCAAATTTGTACTTTTATAAAAATATTTTGAACAAGCAGGATTTTGATACTTTTCCTATTCGAAATATATTCACATTTAAAAGAAAAGGTGACAACTCCGATACCTCTTCAAAAAATGGAGTACGGTATCTATTATTCACTTGATTGATCAACATCATGATATCGTTTTTAATTTAGATTTAAATAATTCAAATGAAACATTCATATTGATCCATGTAAACAAAGTTATGGTACCTTATGAATATCATAGAATTTACCTAAAAAATATCACTAGTCAAAATTAATTGTCTTTTCCAAAAAAAATTCAATTATAGAGAGATATACCTTGGATAGTCAGATAATTATTACGGATATGGTCAACAACAAAGAGGCTAAACATAGCCTGTATCTCCCATCCTCCCGGAAGCTTATCGCTATCAACAATTTGCAAGTAGAGGGAGATATGTTCTTCATCCTCACCTTTTGCCTTGAACTTCCTCGTTGGGTAAACAACACACAGTTTCCTTTGGGTAAACAACTTCACGTTAATGACTACTTACGAAACTACGAAGAAGGACGTATTTTACATATTCATAAGGTACTTAAGTCAGGAATGAATGCTTGGGAATTGAAGTTGGGATAATGTAACGTACCATTTTTTATCGCAGGCCTCAAAAACACCAGATTCAAATTTTTCAGCACCAGTTTTAGAGAGTAGAGAAAAGGAGCGTATCTTGAAGATGAAGTGGGCTGGTGGCATGTCCCTGCTCCACCTTTCCACTCCCACTCCGGCCGCCACCGTTGAACCCATATGTATATATGTATGTTTTCTTCGAATATATTAACAACGAATGTGAACGGCGCGGCACTAAGTTCCTGTATTAACTACTGTGTTGGTTAACTTTCAGTATATATATGGTGGTGATCAGAAAACCCGAGGAAGTCAGTCTTTACCAATTACGGAGTATTCAATTTCAAAACTTTTGGATTACAATTAAAAGTATGCATGTGAAACCTTTTCTTATTAATCTCTTCAATCAAGGGTTACAAAATATATATACATCTGTACACCTTAATCTTCTCCGTGGATGAGAGTCCTCACGCTACAAAAATGGTCATCCGGTTGAGAAGATAATTACAAAATTAAAATACAAATTAAACTAATCTAAGGAGTCCAGCCGCATGTCCAAGTCAGTTACATCTCCTGCATGCCCGGTTAGAAAAGCATGCATACGTAGCAAGCCCAAAAAATCACACCAACACCCCCCCTCAAGATGGAGCATGGGGGTCAAGAATGTCCATCTTGGAAAGAAGAAAATGAAACTGAGAAGCGCCGAGGGCTTTAGTAAACAAATCTGCCAACTGCTCTGAGGTAGAGAGATAGGAAGTTATGATCGCGCCCGAACGTACATGATCTCGAATGAAATGGCAATCGAGTTCAATGTGTTTCGTACGTTCATGAAAAACAGAATTAGATGCAATGTGTATAGCTGCCTTATTATCACACTTTAGTTGCATAGGTGGTAACGGTAACCGCAAGGAAGAGAAAAGACTTTTGAGCCAAAGTAACTCGCAAACGAGAGCAGCCATGGATCGGTATTCTGCTTCTGCGGATGAACGAGAGACGGTGGCTTGCTTTTTGGTACGCCAGGAAATAGGAGAACCACCAAGAGTAACAAAATAACCAGTAACGGAGCGACGAGTGATGGGGCAACTAGCCCAATCAGAATCACAGAATCCTGTAAGAGAAAGAGATGTATGACGGCCAAATAGAATACCTTGGCCGGGGTGGGCTTTGCATGAATTGGGAAAGGATATGTACCGAATAATTAATGTCTGGCCGAGTAAGAGTGAGATAAATAAGCTTTCCAACAAGACGGCGATAGCGGTCAGGCTCAGAGAAATAAGGTCCGTCATCAGATTGCAACTGATGGTTTTGAGGCATAGGAAATGATGCGGGCTTAGCTCCAATCAAACCTGTCTCCGTAAGAATATCCAAGACATATTTGCGCTGACATAAGAAAATGCCGCGCTCACTCCGTGCAACCTCTAATCCAAGAAAGTACTTCATGTGACCCAAATCTTTAACAGGAAATGTAGAGGCCAAAGAAGATTTAAAAGAGCAGATCATGTCAGGATTAGAGCCAGTAATAAACAAATCATCAACATAAACCAAGATACATAAAATGTGTTTCCCACGATGAAGAGTAAACAAGGAATAATCCGCATGAGATTGTTGAAACCCGTATGCTACTAGTGTAGTAGTCACTTTGGAAAACCAACACCGGGGTGCCTGACGTAGCCCATAGAGAGAGTGAAGTAATTTACACACCTGACCAGGTTTAGGGATGGAATAACCAGGAGGAGGATGCATATATCCTTCCTCGTGTAGATCACCGTGGAGAAAGGCGTTATCTACATCCATCTGGTGTATTTCCCAATCACGGGAAGCTGCAATAGCTAGCATGGTGCGAACAGTGACCATCTTAGCCACGGGCGCAAATGTCTCGTCATAATCAATACCATGGATTTGGCGGTTACCACACACAACTAGTCGGGCTTTGTACCGATCAATGCTTCCATCACTCTTATATTTTATTTTGTATACCCATTTACAAAAAATGGGCCTTTTTCCAGGTGGAAGATCCTGGAGTTGCCAAGTTCCCGTCTTCTCCAATGCATGTATTTCATGTTGCATGGCAGCACGCCAGCGAGGATCACAAACAGCCTCCTTATACGTGCTAGGTTCGGTATTGGCAGAAACCGCTGCAAGCAAAGCTCGATGGCAAACAGAAAAACGAGTATAATTGATGTAATGAGATAAGGGATAAGGATTACCTGAGTCAACCGGTGGAGGCAAGGTTTGAGCAGGTGGAGTATTTATTTTCATAGTATTCAGCTGTACCACATAGTCTTGATGCCAACCTGGTGTCTGCCTGGGTCTTTGACTGCGTCGAGCAGTCTGGTTACCGGCATCAGTCATCCCTGGAGTTGTTGCCAATGGTCCAGCACCTGTCATTGTCATGTTATCTTCTGTACCATCTGGCTGACTTTCCACGTGAAGATGCTGTTGGTCAGTATGGGATGGGGACAGCTCCAGTGCTTCATCGACAACAAATCTGGCAACGGGATTGTCATCCCAAGGCTTAAGTACATCCTCATTATCTCTGACCTCCGTAACTTCATGTGTATCCTCAATTGCAAATGGAAATATTGCTTCAACGAATGTAACGTCACGTGAAACAAAAATATTCCGTGTCTCCAGATTAAGTAATTTCCATCCTTTCTGGGAGTGAGCATATCCTAAAAAAACACTTTTGATTCCCCGTGTAGCAAATTTGTCCCTATTTTTCTCATGATTATGTGCATAACATAAACATCCAAACACCCGAAATTGATCATATCTGGGCACTTTATTAAACAAAACTTCATACGGACTTTTAAAATCCAAGACAGATGAAGGCAGTCGATTAATAAGGTAGCAGGCAGTCAACACACACTCACCCCAAAAATTAATGGGCAAATGTGCATGAAATCGGAGTGTGCGTGCTACTTCCAAAATGTGTCTGTGCTTGCGCTCAACTCTTCCATTCTGTTGTGGAGTATAAACACATGTAGTTTGAAACAGAATTCCAATATCCAAAAAATAAGATTTCAAACACTGAAATTCTGTTCCATTATCACTCCGAACAATTTTCACTGATTTATCAAATTGACGTCCCACCATCGTTATAAATTGTTTAAGTAGAGTTGAAACTTCACTCTTTTCACGCATCAAGTAAACCCATACCGCCCGTGAAAAATCATCTACAATCGTCAAAAAATATCTAGCCCCACACGTAGCCGGTGAACGATACGGTCCCCAAACATCACAATGTATCATATCAAATAAATCAAATGCTCTGGAATTACTAGTGTGAAAAACATCACGAGTCTTTTTACCACGCAGGCATGCATCACAATTTTTATTTAAACCAACTGACAACAAGGATTTATCAAAACTAAGTGCTGAACGTAAAATCTTCTCGGATGGATGTCCTAACCGGGAGTGCCACAAATTACTCGTGTCCTTCCTTCTTATTGAGTACGCACGAACATCTTCAATACTATGAAAATAGAATACTCCTCCACGCTTTTCACCCGCTCCAATCGGCATCCTCGAACGTAAGTCCTGTATCACACAAACATCATTAGAAAAAATTATACCACATTTTCGTTCATCGAGTATTTGCCCTACCGAAATCAGATTACATGTCAAACCCGGCACTAAGAGCACATTATTAAGTGTTATATTTTGGCTTAAGTTCACATCACCCCTGCTCCGTGCAATCGTAATCTCACCGTTAGGCAAGTAAACAGAAAGAGGACTTATCTTCTGTGAATTGTTCAACAGTTGTTTATTGCCTGTCATATGGAATGATGCGCTAGAGTCTATAAGCCATTGAGTTCCGGGAATTTTACCTGAGCTCTTCTCATGCGTGTCTTTCTTACTCTGTTCTAGAAAGTCAAAGACTTTCTTCCACTGTTCAGCAGAGAGGGCAGGTGCATGCATTTTCTCCTCCACACGTTCTGATGCATCTGATTTTTCCTCGCCAGTCTCCCCCAACTGCACGGCGTTGGCATACGCCCGACCACGCCCTCTTCCACTGCCACTACGTCCGCGTCCGCGTCCTCGTCCCGGATTTTCGTACCACCATTCCGGGTATTGTCCCGTCCTTTTGAAACAATTTTCAACACCATGACCAGGTTTTTTGCAATAATTGCAAATAATCCTCTCTTCTTTTCCAGTGCTCGATCCTCCAGTTCGTGCAGCAAAGGCGACTGCTTCAGCCTTTTCAGCTCCATTGCGTGTCAAATTCAAGTGCCTTTCTTCCTGCGTGACAATTTGGTACACTTTTGTGAGTCCCGGCAGTTCTTCTTGACTGAGAAGATTTGAACGCAATCCTCCGTATGTTTCACGGTCCAATCCCATAAGGAAATCATGCGTCTTTTCAAGTTTAATTTGCTTCATCAAATGTTTGTTAATTCACACCTACAACGTCCACATGTGCATTCTGGAATATTACGTAGCCCGTCGTAATCATCCCACAACGCTTTGAGTCTTCCATAATATGCCATGATCGTCTGTCCATTCTGCCGGCAGGATCAGATTGATTCCTTGAGCTCATGAATTCTCATGGAATCAGCCACCTCGAACCGATCCTTCAGGTCATTCCATAGCTCGGCAGCATCCTCCGTGTATCCAATATTCGTTCGCAGCGTTGGATCAATGGATGTCATCAGCCAGCCTACCAACATCGAATTGACCGTACACCAGTCTTCTAGATCATCCACGCCGTTTTCCGGCCGTTTAATCGTTCCGTCTAGAAAACCAAATTTCCGTTTAGCTCGAAAGGCGTTCTTCATTGCCGTCGTCCATTCCCTAAAATTCCCTTCACCTTTTAGAGTAAATCCGCAAATGTTGATTCCGGGATAGTCGGAGCTCGATAGAAAATACGGCGATGAGGGATCGTTAATTTTCCTCCTCCTTGGTTCGCCGGAGTTCGTTTCGTGTGTCGTGTTCACCATATTGGTGAGTTCGTCCGGTGGATTCAAGATAGGATCGTTACACGCTCTGATACCAAATTAAAAGTATGTATGTGAAACCTTTTCTTATTAATCTCTTCGATCAAGGGTTACAAAATATATATACATCTGTACACCTTAATCTTCTCGGTGGATGAGAGTACTCACGCTACAAAAATGGTCATCCGGTTGAGAAGATAATTACAAAATTAAAATACAAATTAAACTAAGCTAAGGAGTCCAGCCGCATGTCCAAGTCAGTTACGTCTCCTGCATGCCCGGTTAGAAAAGCATGCATACGTAGCAAGCCCAAAAAATCACACCAACAATTACTAATGGGGCGCCGACT